TTGTATTTGTTCAATCTGAATCATGCCCAATGAATGGAGTGGAAAAAAGGAGAGTGAAATGTACAGAGAGGGATGAGACGGATAGATGTATTTTACTATATGGCCCCACTATTTTTAAGATGTGGGATTATTGTGAAATGAGATGATTATACTCCTGAATCTCTGTAATCGGTCGACCCTCAATCAATCGGTTTCATGTCAAGCAATAGATGAATATATGGCAGGTCGGCTTCTTCCCAGCCGGCCTCTACCCGAGCGGTCTTCGATTCAATCAATTTATGGGTCGGTCGGCCTCTAGGTTGGTTGACCCTTGGCAGGCTGCTCAATCGGTCTCTGGCAAGTTGACTACTGTTGTTCGATCATCCTCCATATTCCTTTTGTTCATTCTCTTAAAGTTCTATCTAGTGATGTATGCTCCACTCTGAGCAGCTTGATTTACAAAAGATCCGACCAAATGTATTTTTATTATACAATATTGGATTTATGTGAAATATATGGACATGCTAGATCGAAGTTATCTTGATCTGCTCCTCTATTCCTCAATAGAGAAAATAAAGCTATCATGTTCTATGAGTTTGATATGGTGTATGACAATATGACCAATCTTTTTAGACAAAAATGTGTCACTTTTTATTAGAGCTTAGTTGATGCATAATTCTTGTTGTTGATCATGTCTTCTAACTCTCTCAAATTAAATCAAGTGCGCCAAGAAGACATTGCATGGGCCTTCATTTTAACACCCATATTTATTGGATCAATAGTCTTGCCTATGTCTATGATTTCAAGTCTTATTTTCTAAATTACTACATCTAATATATTACTTCTATTCTTTTGAACCAAGTTGGCATGTTTCTCAAAAGGGTCATTTACATAGCACACAACTCTTATGTATTTACATACCTCACACCAAAATTTTCATATTTACATACATAACAATCAAATCTTTGGCATTACCTCAAAGAAAACACTATTACTATTTTTTCTAAGCTAAATGCACCCTTTTAAAGCATGAAAGTGTTATGTGTATAAATATGAAAGTTTAGGAGTGAAATATATATACATACGTATGTAAATTTTCATTTTCAAAATGAATAAAAGTATTAATGGGCTTCGGCCTTCTAACTAAGACTTAAATTCTTAAATAGCGAAAGGCAATCTTAACCCACCGATAGTAAGGCAAATTCATTATTATTGTGAATAACTAAGCCATGCATTCCAAAAAAACTTGCATCAACACGGACCTAAAGTTTCTTTCTAAAAGATTAATTATCCACATATAGAATATCGACTTAAAATATTATGAGTAATTAAGGTTAAATGCATCTAATATTTTTTAATTTAAGATGTGTTTGGGGGTGGCTGCAACTTATTAAATAGCAGTTGTGAAATTGCTGAAAAATATCTAATATTGCAAAAAAGTTGCGACGCTATTACACTTTTTTTTTTTTTTTTTTTGTGAAAAAGTAAGACCTCAGCTTTAAAGCTGTCACTACACCTAGTCATGATAGGTGAGAAAACACTTATTTCAGCCGCAATTTTTTGAAAAAGCTGTCAAAACACAGTTTATCTAAACGGGCAAATCTGTCACGTCGTCACCGCACTGCTGTCCCAAACGGACCCTTAGAATTTAAATATTCTTGTAACGGATTGAGCTAGTTTATTATATAAACTCCTCAATTAAATCTTTAACCTTTTTTTTTTTTGTAAATCATAATAGATATAGCTTTAGTCAAGTGTATCCTTATAAATTAACTCTAGGATATAATTACTTAATCATAATCTTAATTTTAATCAAAACCCGAGATCTACCGTAACCAAAAAAATTTTATAAAAAATCATATTATTTCATCCTACTATATATAAGAAGAAGGTTTTCTATTATCCCACACCCTCTAAACTGAAATCATGTTCAAATTGTATCAAAATAGACAAAATATTAAGAAAATGTTTACCTTAGATCTTACCAAGAGCTATGCAATGGATATCAGAGTTCTTATTTGGCTCTTCGTTTATAGTTTTGTTAAACCCCTAAATTATTGCCCTTAATAATGATCACCTCATGAAGCCTTTAGGAAAGTTGGTTGCTCTTAATAGAGGATTAATTAATCTCTTGATGCCATTAATGCTAATTATTCATTAGGTCATCACATGGTGGCTAGGATGGTTGAATGTCTCTGGGAAAGAGAAAATATTAGATCGGGATTTCGGATCATCCGGAGTCCAATAAGGAGGCACCACGTGTAAAGTGAACCCATCACAATACACTGTGATTGGTCCACTCTATACATATCGCTCTCCTATAGGACTCCGGATGTATCCAAAACCCTGACCTAACATTTTCTCCTGGGTAGGGTGGGGGATACAGGATCTTTGCTCTACCAACCCTAGAGTTTTTCTAGTAAGAAACTATTATGTTGCACTTCAACTTTCTAGCTTTACTAGATGATTAAACAGCTTAGTTTTTATAACATTTTCCTTCTTTTGCTCACAGTGATCTACTCTTCTTCTTCTGCATTGCTATAGTTCCTATTTGTTGATTGTCTTCCACTTTGTAATCATGAAATCATTTCTTTAGTGTAGATTTTGCGCCAATAATGGCTCCCAGATCTCTAATCCTCTGGTCCAGCAATATAGCCAAGTCGAGCTCGAATTCGGGGTCAAATGTGCTTAGCTCATTTACTGTAAGGTTGGCTCGAACTCGAGCTCGAGCTCAGATTGCGAGCTTGAGCTAGACTCGTGAGAAATATATTAAGCTCGAGCTCGGCTCAGCTCATAAACTCGAGCGCAATTAGGAAGCTCGAGCTCGACTCGTTCTATAAGCTCGATTGGACTTGGAATTTTTAATTTTGATCTAAATCAAACAATTTGAAAGAGCTGTAAATTTATATTGTAATTGATTGAAAAAAAAAAATTTAATGTAATTTTTTTCTCACAAAAATTTTATCATAACATCAAAGAAAGTATTCATATAAATAACATTACATACAAACCACCCAAATATACCTAACACCCAAACTTTATTAGATACAATTATATCAAATACCACTATTTTAACTTTTTGACAACATGATATACACATTTTCATGCGAAGGTAAGATGACATATATGTAAAAACATAAAGTTTAGGTTCTACATATGTAAATACATAAAAATTGAGTGATATGTATATAAATCTACCAAAACATTATAAATAAGGCAAAAAAAAACTTTCATCAAAATACAATAAAGTGATTCATTCCATGGAATGGGGAAAAATTGTTCCGTCAACATTATAAATTTCAAATCATATATTTGATAATTTATAAGTCAGCATTTAAAAAAAAATTAAGGACATTTACATACATACCACATAATTTTTATTTATTTAGCAGCTAAACTTGCTTATTTACATGCACAAAACTCAATTCTTTAACATCACATAATAAATAAAATACATTTTTTCATGCATACGTTCATAACACGAAAATTTCATAGGTGTAAATCTGAAATTTTTGGTGTTTAGATAAATAAATACATAAGATTTGTGTGGTCTGTATGTAGATTTCAGAAAAAAAAGCATTTTAATCAAACCTAATAAATCATTGGTAAGACTAATAACTCAAAAATCAACAAAAATGAAGTTGAGAGCATCCACTTGCCAAAAAGGTGATAGGGATAGCTTCAACTTACAAGGCTTGCAAAAAGGAAGGGTTCCCTTGCGCTCTTTTGTCGGCTTCGTGCAAATAAAGAAGGGGTAGAAGCCCTCGTACAATTTTGGCGTAGGGGCGAATGAAGAGAGGGCTTCGGAGTACTAGACTTCTGAACTGAAGAGGAGGATGCCCTAGAATCGCTAATCACATAGGAGGAAGGAAGGGGTTCAAGCTCTTGGCTTTGAATGTGGGAATGAGGGATCGAGGGGTGTAGAGAAAAACCAGAGATCAAACAATGTAAGGGCGTCAAGAGATAAAAAGACTTGGTAAGTATATTAAGGGTTGCGGTCTTTGCATTAATGACCAGGCCAGCTAGGGGTGTAAACGAACCGACCACGAACGAACATAGCTTGTGTTCGTGTTTGGTTCGTTTGAAATTTAGTTTGTTTGAAATAAGCTCGTGCTTAAAATTGTTTGTAAAGTCATTGCACGTGTTCATTTCTTAACGAACGAGTCGAACACGAGTTGTTCATGAACGACGAGTCAATTTGACATCCCTAATACTAATATATATAAATAATATATTATATTAATTATATAACTTATATTATATAAATATATAATATCTATATTAGTATATTACTAATATATTATATTAGTATATTACTATTATTAATTTATTATATATTATAATTTATAAAATTTAATTTTTTTTAAAATATATATATATATATATAATTATTTTAAATTATTTTATATTTCGAACTATAACGATTCGAACACGAACGAACGCATCACTGTTCGTGTTTGGTTCGTTTAACTAACCCAATGAAAAAAATTTGTTCACGTTCGTCTCATTTACTTATCAAACGAATCGAACATGAACTCATTGACGAACCGAACATGAACTGTTCGCAAACAACGAGCTTTTTTGACAACCCTGAGACCAGCATCCAAATCACGACTTATTCTATTCGAGCGGCTCGCCGAGTTCACTAGTCAAGTCAGGCGAGGCTCGAGCTTAAGGACATATATTATACTAGCTCGATTTTAACCTTGAGCTCGAACTCAAAGCTCAACAAGCTCGACTCGCGAGCTCATTAACAAGTCTGAGTTCAAGCCAGCTTGACTCATTTACACCCCCTATATTGCAATAATTTATTTGGTTTATAATGAATATTTTAATCTTCCAAGTCTTTCAATCAAGATTTATTTGCTGTCTGCATGCACAAATATTAATGAAATTTGGCTTATAAGAAAAATTTTCAAGTTGCAAACTGAAAATGTAGAGAAAAAATTAACAAATGAATATCAAAAATGCTATCTTTGAGGTTATGTATAAATAAGATTATATAAACACTAATATCACTAGCTTATATGCATCTCATCTCCAGTACAGGTTTAAACCAAACTGAAAAGAACAACTTCTGTTGATCCAGTTCGGTTACAATTGATTTGATCAATTTGAAAACATGCCCATCCAAAATGCTCACCCCTAATCTCCAGCAGTAATTCTTCCCTCTATTATTTTAATAATCAGAAAGAATGTTCAACTGATGCAGAGAATTCAAATCCTCCCTAAAGATGTGCAGCAGAAATAAATATAATCAAGTAAACAAAACTGAATCAAAATCAAACAATTTCCTTACTTCGAATCCAGAATCAAATGTACAGTTCTTCTCTTTCCTTTCAATGTAAGAAAATGGCGATCCATGAACTGCAACTTCATCATCCTATTCAAATAATCACATTCGCAGAGCTCAGTATTATTCCAAACTAATCTCCTTTCCAGTTCATCAAAACCTCAACTTGAATCAAAATCTACAGCAACTCCTATGGCCATCTTCCACCATGCTCTGATCTGCTCCGAAACCTCTGCGTGAATCGATGCTCACTCGCAGTTCCTGATGCAAACTCTCTGATTCTCTGCAAAAAGTTCCTGCTCTTACCCATCCAAAGCGAACCCGAGCTGGAACGCATGCGAAGCAGACCCGAACCATCCTCTACAGAACCCGCAGATGCATACAACACATCAGATTGCGATATTCCTCTCTTGGCTTCTTCACACAAACCTACATTGATTCTGGTCTCTGCGTCCTTCGCAGATGACCCTTCATTACTGCAGCTTTCGGAATGTCTGAACTCATCGCTCTCGTTGCAGACCAGCTTCAACGCCTGAACCACCTCACCCATAAACGGGCGGTGAGAAACCTCCGGCTCGACGCACATGGACGCAATGGCTGCAACCTTAGCAATGCTATCTCGGGGATAATTGGTGCCGAGAGTCGGATCGATGATTTTCTCCAATCCGTCCGTTTTTGTCAGGAGAGGACGTGCCCAAGAGACGAGATTTTCTTGACCGGGAGGTTGCAGCATGTCGACGGGCTTCCTCCCCGTAAGAAGCTCGATCAGAACAACGCCGTAGCTGTAAACGTCGCTCTTGACAAGAAGATGACCCGTCATTGCATACTCGGGAGCCACATAGCTGAAGAAATTAAATGAAATTTCAGGTCAAAAAGCTTAATGAAGACAAATGGTAGAAGGATTCTAGGTATTTTGTACCCAAAAGTTCCCATGACTCTTGTTGAGATGTGCTCGTTTTGTTCGTCCAATGCAGCCCTAGCCAGGCCGAAATCAGAAACTTTGGGGGTATAATCGTGCTCTAATAAGATGTTGCTGGATTTGAAGTCCCGATGGATGACGCGAGGGCTTGAATCTTCGTGAAGATAAGCTAAACCTCGAGCTGCACCGAGCGCGATCTTCATGCGTGCATTCCAGTCAAGCGGAGCAATATTCTTGTCCACACCTGAAATTTCAGAAACATACCTACAATTACTAGTAAAATTCCACCAAATCAATCAGAATGTGTGAAGGATGCAAATTCTTGCCATGTAGATGTGATTCGACGCTTCCATTAGGTATAAGCTCGTAGACGAGGCAGCGAGTGTTTTCCTCCGTGCAAATACCGATCAACTTGACCAGATTCCGATGATGTAAACGGCCGAGCATCTCGATCTCGGCCAAGAACTCCCGCTCTCCCTGCTGGTCATCCCTCTTCAAAACCTTTACTGCAACTCTCCTTCCATCATCGAGAGTTCCTTTGTACACGCGACCAAAGCCGCCTTCTCCGATGATTCGTGAAACATCGAACTTGTTTGTTGTCTTCTCGATCTCAACTAAACTGAAGGTTTTTGCTGATCCGGCGTACGTTGCGATGCTGGAGGTGAAGGAAGCTGGTGCTGAACTTTGTCTGCTACCAGTGGTTATAGGTATGGCCCGAGCAGCTATTTTGTTTTCATGTTCAGAAGACAAAACAGTCAGCCATTGAATCTCATGTCACAATATCGTTCTTGTTTTTCCAACTTTGGGGGACTACACATGATACCAAATAATGCTTATGCATTTACACGTCTAACATAAAAATTTTGACATTTATATTCATAACATTCAAATCCTTAACATTATATGAAAAATGGTGACATTACTTTACTTTTTTTAAATGAAGTATACATTTTTCATGCATGAATTTTGATGTCATTGTAACACTAAAGTATTATAAATAAAAATATGAAAGTTTGAGGGTGTTGATATGTAAATGCATAAGAACTGCATGCTATCTATGTAAATTTTTAGACTTTAAATAAAAAATTTGTGCTCCTAGAGGAAATTGCAAAAACAATGCAAAGAAATGTTTGTGCGTCCCCCTTAAAAACAGTATTATATCAACAAATTCTATTAAGAGAGTGAAAGTAGCTTACAACATCCTATTTCTAAAAACATTTCAAAGAAACTAAGTTGGAGAATGTTCAAGGAAGAAGATTTCTATGGCCTACTCAATCAAAGAACATTTCAAAGCACTAAATGTTGTTGCATTATAAAATAGAGCCTTGCATAGGGATAGCTAAATAATATGTCATATAATTGTCATAAACCCAAATGGAGCTTTACACGGAATAAACAATGGGGGTACAAATGCAAAGCCAAATTAAAATTTTACATACAGAATTTTAGGCCTTTATGGTTCATGCATCAACGCTAGAAAGCACAAGCTAAATGCAAAACATTTGAAAACCTATCTACTACAAATTTTACCTGATAGTTTTGCAAAAGGAGTTTGTAAAGATTGAGAACTTGGTGCAGGCAAATCTGAATTCTCCCTGTGCCTTAGTGAAAAAAACAACGCAGCTCCAACAATTAAAAACAAGGATAGTATAGATGATAGAACTATTATGGCTATCAGGCTTCCACTCAGCTTCAGTTTTCCCTTCTTCTTCCTCACATCAACAGCAAGAGGTCGAATTCCCCTGGCATTGTTTGCACTACCATAAGCTCCTCCTTCAACGTTAATATATGCCGGTGCAGTAGGCGGTGACGGTGGTAGGCCTGCGCATGTTATTGACATCAAAATTGAGAAAATTAGCTAAATAACGCCTTGCTACTCATATTAATCATCTTCTATAATTATAATCTGAGAAATATAGTAAAATATATGTGGCGTGAATTTAGGGGAATCAATCTCCAACACAAACTATTTGTCTTCTGTGATTTACTTGTAATTTTTCTTTTTTTTTTTTCTTTTACATTCATTCCTAACATTAAGTATAAAAACAAGGCTGAAAAATAACAAAACAAAATTGTCAAAAATAAATTACATAACATAATTCAGTGCAAAAACAAAACCGATAAAAAGACAAAAAGTCACTAACCTGGATAGAGAACATACAATACTTCATAGTCTCCAAAATATGAAGCCTGTATGGCAACCTGTTTATGCCAGAATTTCTCATAGGTTAGAAACACTGTTGTATTGTCAAAGCTTTTTTCAATTGGAACAAGATCAATGAGGACAACAGCCTTCTCGGTGTCCTCCGAAGCAACATTCGCTCCCATGATGCGAACTTGACTTTGTTTCACCAAAATTCCCACCGCAATTTCTTGAGCAAATTCGGAAACCAAGGGGAAAAATGTATACAATGCAACACCAAGACGAAGTCCTACTTTAATTGGCAAGACGCACATACAAGGTGACCCTGGAAGGGGATTCGCAAATGGTTCTTGGCACATTATAGGGCCGCAATCTGCGCAGAATCAGAGCTAAAATCAGCAATAAACATGCATCACGAGGCACATAGGGACAGTAGCGGAATCAAAATTTAAGGAGGGTGGCGAAAATTAAAATTAAGGGATGACGAGTATTTAAGTTTAAGGCTTTCATCTCCTTGAAATTATTTTAAAACTATTTTAAATATTATTATTAAATTAAAAGTAAAGTTAATATTAAACTGTTATTAAGCAAATAAGTTAACGGGTGTATTACATGATATGAAAGAGTTTAGAAAAAAATTAGGATTGATGAGCGCCTCTACCAACCACCTCCTGGTTCGCATAGGAAGGAGAGCTTCTTATTGCCAATAGTTTGAACAATCGATTTCACAAGCATTAAAATCAAAGCACCGAAGAACATGCACGAAATATTGAGTGATGCGGCATGAAATGTAGACATGAGATCAATGTCGCTTACTCAAATTAGGTGGTGGAGGGGGTAAAGACCGAATGGGTTGTGGCAATGGTGATGGAGAGGTTCCTCTGATATACTGGGGTGAAGGTGCGGGATAATAAGTCGGCGCTGTTAAAGGCGCAGTCTTGGTTAGTAACAAGGCAAAATTCACAACAAAGAACATGGAGTTGAATACTAAATTTGAAATAACAGTAAGCTTACATCCGTTATGCATTTGTGGAGCAGCCGGTGAAGGTGCTGGAGTAGAAGATTTTTCACCACTTGGGAAAGAAATTGGAGCCTGGTCTGGAGGAAAGTAAGGTTCTGTGATAAATAAATAAGATTTTAGTTTCCCACATTTTTAAATTTACAGGAAATTTATGATTGAATTCTCTTACTCGTTGGAGCCTCTATGGGAGGATGTGAAAGAGCTTGGTGAAAAGTAGGACCTTCAACATGAGGTGAAGGAGCAGAAGGCCTTTCCTTATTATTTGGTGTCGATATTGGAGGTTGTGAAGGAGCAGGATTAACCTCAGGGCCTTCAACATTAGGTGAAGGAGTACCATGCCTTCTCCCATCCTTTGGAACTTCAATTGGAGGATAATTTACAGGAGATGGAGAGGTCGCAGGGCCCCCAACATAGATTGGAGGATTGGGCTTTCCCTTTTTCCTTGGAAATGGCAACAATTGATGCATGGGTGCTAGAAAAGTAGCACAAAAGTTAATGAAAACATAATTAACATTTTAAAATCTCAAACTCTGTTACAGTACAACCTGAGGAGGGTATTGATGGAGGCAGAGAAAATGGAGCAGGTGTCGGTGTAACTCCTATTTTCCCATTTTTATGCCCAGGAACAGAAATAGCTGGTGCAGGCTGAGGGCTCTTTGTTATTCTTCCTTCAGAAGGATGAGGATGAGAGGCTGAAGGAGCATGTGTAATATTTGAATCATGAGGCAAAGGTGTGATAAGTGGGGATGATCCTGAACAAAATATTGTTCAGGGAATTAGTATTTCAACTTTCTTCAATCTATTCCCAAAAGTTGCATAATTACAATACCATTGAATTGGGAATTGTTTGTAGGAGACAAATGGCTTGAATTTCCCATTGAAGGTGCAGCTACAGGAGAAATCATAGGCCCTGTCGGACATTATTAAAAAAAAAAGAAAAGGAGAAAATTGTCAAAATGGTCCCTTCACTCTTTGTAGGTGTTCATTTAGTCTCAGTGTCTATAAAAGTACCAATTTAGCCCATGAATCTTTTAATGGAGGTTAAAACTATTTTTAAGTCATATATAAAGAGTCTGGACTAAAATGATCACTGTGAAGAGTCAGGGGACAACTAAAGTTTCAGAAAAAAAAAAAAGTAAAAAACAAAAAAAAACAAAATTCATATTGCACCAGGCGGACGGATCATTGGCGGTGATATTCTTGGAACATTTGGAAGAACATCTGGTGGGGTGAGCGGAACTAATCTCGGCGAAGGAGCTGGTGAAGAGAAATGTAATGAGAACTCAGTTGTATGAAACATCGTTTGAGCCAACTGATTCCCATGTTACCTGTTTATCAGCTGTGTACCTGCAGCATATGGCAATGTTGATTGCGAACCAGTAGAAGGTTTTCCCTGAGTCTCGCCTATAGGAGTTCCATTTCCAACTTGTGTTGATGGAGGATTTACAGTTGAAGGAGAGATATCATGATCTTCAGAGAAAATGCATCCAAATTTTAGTAATAAAAAGAAATGATTTCTTAGATTTTTCAATGAAATATTATTTACCTGAATTATGAGGTGGAGTTACTGAGCCAGGAAATTTATGTTCCTCTGCAGAAGGAGCTGGTGGAGAGCTGGGTATAAACGGTGCTGTGGCTTGAATAACGGGAGTAACAGCTTCGGGACTTTTTGGAAATATGCTTGGAGTATTTGGAACAGAACCTGAAATATAAGAACGAAAATCTGTGAAACACTGTGAAATGTAAGCGAAAATTTTACTCCTAAAATGCTGTGAAGTTAATTAATGTTTGGTTTTGATACATCAAGAACAAAACATATTGGAGTCTTGAAATTATGTTCATCAAACTTGTCAACATCACCTATTGGAATAGTCAGAGGACTTGGTGAAAAAATACTTTTTGATTTTTCAGAATGTGGAGCTCCCTTTATCATTGGGTTAGAAAGATATGGAGATATTTCTGGTGAAGGGGAGGCCGCCGATACTGCAATAGAGAGCAGACATGTTGCTCATAAGAGTAAGTGGTTATTCAGTTATTTGAAGTTTATTCAGGAAAGAGCCACAATTTTTGCTAGACAATATCATAAATGCATGAATGTAACATATTGATTCACTGGTGTAGTGATTTTTTGCAATATTTTAAAAAAAAATGGAATTTTGGTACTGATGGTTATGGAAATCATTTTTCTAGACAATTTAAGATCTTTAGTAATGATGTTCACAAAATTTTCACACATCAGACTTTTAGCATATGTATGTTGTAATGCACAAATTTAAAATTGAAGTGTCTAACTATGAAGGCAAAATTGATCAAATAATTTTTACTGTTTGATTGCTAGACATGGATAATTTGTTTGAAAGACAAATTATACCATCAAATAAGATTTGCAAAAATGAAATTTATTGGTCTAGCTAAAATTTATTGGTTGTGTGGATGGGCAAGGAAAGAGAATAGGAAGGGAATCTACAATAATTTATGAGATTGAGATAAAACAGTTTTTATAATAGAAATATTTGCCCTCATAATATTACAATAAATTATTTAATGAAATTATATCAATATAATAAGGCACCAAGTCTGTGACTAAATCCATAAAACCTCATATCAAGAGAGATATTACCTCACCACATTCCATAATGTGAGCATGTTTTTCAACGTAGATTAGATTTTGAAATAATGTTAATATTTCTTGTACCTAAGAAGGTTATCATATGTCACGACTCGGCCCGGAGCTTGAAGTTAACGACGATGGAAACGGACGGTCGGACGATGGAAATCAATTCTCTGCTATTCTTTTACGTCGCCAAAAAATTTATGTGATTTCTCAAAATGGATTATAACATCATATATTCATTTTTCATCAAAATAATTAGGTTCAATCGTATCTCAATATTGAAGCACAAGGGACAAAAAATATGTTAGAATTTAAATGGACTATATTTTTACAAAAATAAAAGAGAGACTTCCAATGTATATTCAATCAAAAGAAACTACATTCTGAGTCAATCTTGCGAGTTGAGAACTTTTTAAATCTCTATGATCTAAGTTTATTTGAAATTTAACCAAATCAAATACCCTAATTTTATAAAAAAATAATGAAATTGAAAGAAATAGTAGGGTAACAATTGTCTATCCAAAGCCTGACAATTTCCAACTGGCCCAACTAACGAAATCGGCTCTAAATACTCCAAATCTCATTTGTTTTGGTGGCCTAAATTAATAGAGTTTATTTTGTTATGTTAATAGTGAAAGCAAAGCATCAAAGACTTGGTAATTATTGCAACATTTGCCTATTCTTGAGTGGAAGTGGGAGACTAATTTAGATTTTGTTATGGAAATTTCATGATCTAGACAATGGCATGACATAGTATTGGTTGTGTTGATCAACTTACGAATTCAGTAAATTTTCTTCTTATGAGGCTGACGGATTCAGTCGATAAGTTGGCACAATTATATATACATGAGATTATCATACAGTATACGATATAAAAGGTTATTATTTATGATCATCATTGGGGATTTTCTTTCTAAATTATAGAGGAATATCTAGGAGGATTTAAGAGCAAACTTACAGTTCAGTATTTTAAAAAAAAATTGGAACAAAATATAAATTTTTAATAGATTATCATCAACAAACTAATAGTTAAATTGAAATTGTTAATAGAAGCTTAGGAGATATGTTATATCATCTGATTAAAGAACATGCATCTGGGTGGGATTTGATATGGTCAATAACATGCAATTCATTAGTTAGTGGCTTACTAAGATATGTACAATTGAGATTGTCTTAGAAGATCAACTTAGAAAGCAAATGTTCTTGTAGAACTCTATACAATTAAAATTTCACACATTTGCACAACATATGGAAGTTTGCACACAATTCATAAGAAACTAACTATAAATCATGAGATTACAAGAGTTATGCTGTCGGGAACAAGAGGCTTGTGGAATTTTAGCCTGGGGATGAGTCAAAATGCGTTCAAATCCAAAAAGGCTTTCATCTAGAACCTTTAGAAAATTGAAAGTAAGGAAAGAGGGATCATTCAAAACCATGCAAAAAATGGGAACTAAGCCTATAAATTAAAATTTTCACAATATTGTGGTTTAAATCTAATTTTTAATTTATTTTATTTTACATTATTTCATAAATCTATTATCAATTCCTTGAATTTTGCTCTCTTCCCACCCATTGTGAGTCTTCATTCAATCTTCTGCCAAATACTTCTATGCACCTTATCCCTAAGGCTATTCTAGATAATGAGATTGAATCTCTTCTTGATGGTGGATTTCAGAGGTACCTTAATCACAAGCAAGACATACCTAACTGTAATGACTCCTTAGACTACCATACAACAAGCTTGAGTTATGCCTATGTATTCGATGAGTATCAAATGCTAAATTAGTCAAAGCAAAATTTGACCAAGGTAATCAGATTTGATGAAAATCTTGTATTTATTCTTGTTAAAAGCATTACATCCAGTGTTAACTTTTTTGTATTTTAAGTATTTATTTTTCATTAGTTGATTTCCTTAACCACTTGGTTAATTTCATTAATTGGTTCAATTTATTTGTAATCTCTCTTTGAAGATATGTTGGTGATGATAATCGAGAAGTGTTTCGAGAAAGGTATTTACTAGATTTAAGTTAATTTATTTGGTTTAATAGTAATCCTAATTTAATTTATGTTAAAGAGGATATGGTAGACTATTCTTGCATTTGGTATTAAAAATTCAATTCGTCCAAGTCAAATTTTATTTAAAAAAAAAGTAGATTGATGTTGTAACACCCATTGCCTTAGTAAATTAGCATACCAATGTAGTGTCCCAGCTTACATTTGATATGAATGATGTGTTTGAGTGTGTGCATAATTTTCTAATGAAAGGAAGTGAGCGTGTATATTTGATTGATCAATTTGAAGCACATATAAGCATGTCATGGTGCCATTCCAAAAAAATGGCTCTCTAGAAGATCATATATACAGTATAGGACTGAACATATAATGTCCAATCATACATATGATATAAGGTTTGTAGCCTTTGGTATAATTTGTTGAACTATGGTAATATAATAGACCTAACCAATTCATTAAAACAAATAAATAAATAAACGAAGAACCAAAAAAAGCTCTAAATTGAAGCCAAAACAGCTACGCATGAACCACTTCATCGACTTATCCATATGTGAAAAGATGCCACTCATCATTGCCTTTGTTCGCAATTTAAGAAAACTAGCATTAGAGCATCAAATATTCTCCCTTCTTCCCTCCTCCTTCATGTTCATCCATAAACAGCAAAAGGAAGTTTTGCCGCAAGCCCTAATTGTTCCCAACACTAGCCACTAAGTTGTTACGACTGAAACTTGTGAACACCCTCTCTTAATTTTCTACCTAGCTACAACCCTCTCGAAGAATAGCCGTTCTCTCTTAATTTTCTACCAAGCTACAACCTTCTCGAAGAATAGTCATCGTTCTACTTCTACCCTAGGCTCCACAAATGCCGTATTCGGTTCGATGTCATCAAATGTTGGATAACTTTGGAGTAAAGTTTTTTCCCCGTAACTCCAAAACTGAAATTAGTGAAAACTATGACAAGTTTTCTTGTCTGCTGTGATTTCAATGAAAGATTTTCTTGTATGTTAATTAATTATATATCTTATAAAGCATTTATAAAAAATTTGATGCAACTAATTTCTGATTCGAATAAGTAATTTAGGTTATTACCTGTTTAATTTTACCAAATCTAATTATTGCATAAATCCATTAATTTTGGAAAGATTCATAGAAAGTATTAACTTGTTTCTCATCCACATTGCTAGTTGATAAGAAAATATATATTGCTTATGCAAATCTTATCCTCTTAATATGTAACAAGTTTTGATCACACTGCTTATAGAATAATATTATGTAAAATAAAACTTCTTTATATTGATCCTTCGAACTCCCCTCAATATGATTCCTAGTAGTCTATGTGCCACTAGTGGTGGGATTAGGCATAGCAATAGATATTTGGGTAGGAGTGATTTGATTCATAGGCCTAGACAAATAAACAACTCTCAACCTTATTTTTATTATTTATTTTAAGACCAATAATATATTTATTCGCCCATTGACAATCATTGTCTACAGTGTTAGTCTAAGCACTCAAAAATATTAAAGTACTTAGTGACCTAAAAGTTCCATACCTAAGAATTAGTAAAATTATCAATTGCCCATATAATTTCTTATTATGGTGTCTACTTGAAATTAAGAATTTCCCTTATGTTTACCCAAGTGAGATTGGTCTTCCTAATTTTTTTTATTCTGCCAATCAAATACATCTTTGCATGACTAAAAATGAAAATTTTATGGGAAGCGCGCTTTTAATATTGATGGATCAATCTTGAAATAAATCATAAGTATTTTAGAATTCTCTCATTATTGTTCAATATAGACATCATCTGAGATCATTAAGGTCAGGCTAAATCCTTCAAGTTTAAAGAGCTTAGAATGCTCAGCCTGCAACCGAAATTCAATTTTTTTCACAATATCAACTCAATGGGAGAATTATCATGTTTGATTTAATATTTTGGTGTTTGGTAAAACAATCATTGCAATGGATCTGAAGAAGCATTACATGAGATCTAAATACCCAGAATAATTCCTCATTTAATCAATTGGAGGTCATGCTAATTAAACTCAATGGGCTTGCCTCGATAAATGTGTAGAATATCATTAAAGCACATGAGAGCAATGGGCTAGTCTAACATCAGATAATTAAAAAATATATTGGCATTGAAATACAAAGTTTTTTAACCTTAAATATAAGCTGAAGCTTTTGAATTAAACACGGGCTTTGCCACTAATGTATCAATAACAACTATAATTTCCTTTGGCTCCATACTCCCTAACAAAGTGGTTTCTTGGCTCCCATGCATCTTGGCCACCTTCTAACATGTTTGAGAAAATTCAAGGGTGTGTGATTTCCATTGCATCATAGCATGCTTAAGTAAGCTTATGGTGCATGATACATGATGGCATTGAAAAGATTTAGTTCGAGAGTGAATTATGGCCAATATAAAGAGCTCTCAGTGAGATTTTTAAAGCACTTTAGATTAATGAGTTAATTCCATATCAAATAATCAAGAAATAGATAATTGTTGAAATACCAAGTGGTTCCCTTACATATAGCTTAACCTTTTAGGATGAAAAAATGGACATGAACATTAATGCAAGGGCAAATTGTGATCCTCATGGTTTCCATACTCCCTAACAGATACTAGGAATTATGCTTGAGATTGGAATCCCTTTCTTGTTTTCTCCATGGGCTGTCTACTTTGCATTAGTTCTCTATAAAAAATTTTCCTCTTGCAAAGCGAGCAACGAAGAGTTCTTGCACTTATATAAGGGCTTCTCTCCAAGCAAGTTTGCTAAGCCAAGTTTGAGAACTTCTAAAACATACCCATTTCATGGAATTTTGTTGGATTTTAGATTTTTCCATTAGAACTCTATCCTAATGACAACTGTAAGTTCTTAGAATTCACGAGTTGTATCAGCTAGGGTTTTAACCAGCATCTCTTTGGATGTCATTATCATGATGAGAGATAATGCTATATGTGAAAATTTCTTTAACCTTCTTCCTCCTGAGCTTGAAAGTAATGGAGTTAGTAAGAGTTGATGAATGTCCTTATACTAAATACACAGGTTTATGGCTGCTTCAGTAGTAGATCTGACTAATCTTCTTCCCTGTCTGAGCATTCTGCATTCAATTATTGTATTCCATTACAACACAAATAAAGCAATCATGGCAACATCTTAAATTTAAAGCTTTCTGGTTTTCATGAGGATTGCCTCAGAATCTCCAAGAAAGACTAATTAGAGTCAATGGCATACACACCACATACATCAAAGATGTAACTAAAACATAGGAATATTTATTGGTGAAGTAAGAGGTAGCAGTGAGGATAAATGCAGAAGACCAAGCCAGCAAAAATACATGACAAACTAAACCAGCAAACCAAAAAAACAAAAACATGTACACTCTGCAAGCAAGAAACAGATGTTAATAATCAATGAGACATCTCTTAAGAATATATTATGTGACACATTACATATAATTAACTTCAGCAGAACCAACCAAAATTCATGGAAGAGATGGTAATAGTCAAAATAGATGAAGAAACCGGAAGAAACCGTGACCAGAAAATTAAAAAAAAAAAAACATCTGTAATGAAAAGAAAAACGCAAGTAAAAGAAGAACCAGGCTGTAATGCAAAACTAAAACAGTAACGGAGAGAACAACTGTTGCTGCAGTCAAAAGAAAACATACTTAGCCTACAGATCACAAGATGAAACCAGTACTGCTACAACTACAACAAGAAGAAGAAGAAGAAGACAGAAAAACATCAAAAGGTACACTTTTACATAAATTACTCACCTCCAATCCTGCAAATCCACAAAACCGAAACCAAACAGTAAAACCCACATCGAACAAGTTCCTTTTCTCCCCACTCCATCAAACGATTCACAAAACCCTCTCAACCAAGCAAGCTTCGGATAAACGGACTGCGCACAAAGCAAGCGCATTCAGCAAGAACAGACACCATAAGATGCCACAAGAGAAGAAAACAAGCAAACTAATGTCAGCAAAACGGGAGCTTTCATCGGATACCACCATGAGACGGAGAGGAAGATAAGAGGCGCAAAAAGGAAAAGGTGAAAAAGGTGGCTGCTTTCGCACTGCAATCAGTGAGCAGAAACCGCTCCAAATTTGCGATTAGAAGTTACGTTTTTTGCTTTCGTGATTGCGAAGAATATGCGAAGGCGCTCCTTAACAGAACGCAAGTGTCGGAGAGGGAGAGGGAATTGGTGTAGAAGAGAGGATTAGGCTGCTTTAGTAGTTCTTCGAGTGGAAGGAGAGCTGCCCCTTTCCTAAATCTTTTAATAATTCCAAAATTACAACTTCAAGATTTTTTTTTTTTTTTTTTGCATAAATTAATGAGTTATTACACCGCTTATTATTCACAAGGACATTTTTTTTTTTTTTAACTTTAAAGACCAATGTGATGACCAAAACGATATGGTGTTGACATCCTTTGGGCATTAAATGTAGCCTGCATTTTTTGCAGGGGCATTTACATGCATACCACATAATTCTGGTATATTTAAATATGTGATATCTAAACCTTCGTATTTATGTAGAGTTAACATTTTAAAAGGTATTATAATTGTAAATATTAAACTTTAGATTCAAGATGGGTAAAATTCATAAGAATTGTGTCTATTATTACTTAGTTTCATTACAAAGCTACCACAGATTGAAACCAAAATATCTTTAAAATATAATATTTAATCCTTTTTTCTAGTCTATGTTGCTCACACACAGAGGACACAAAATTATAATAAAGATTATTATTATTATTATTATTATTATTATTAAATAACATATTACGATTAATATAAAAGAGAAAATAAGAAATTTAATAATATTAACTTTCAAAATTTAAGATGCCCATAAACAAATGTTTAGTTTATGATATACAAAAAAATAAGTATATATTATATTATATTATATTATATTATATCAAGAGTTAAGTTATCTTAATCAATTATTCATTAAAGAATAAAATCATCACCACCTTCCCTAGCACCGAATTCTTATATATTTATAAATCTAATACTAAAGTTTTGATTTTTACATTTAAGTCACCAAAATCTTTCATATCACATATAATTGCCACTTTTTAAGTTTTTAAAAGTGGAAGAATTTTTTTTAAAATTTTAACCTTAGTAGATATTTTTTAGAAAATTTTAATTCATTAATTTAGAGTATGTGTGTCCCCTTATTGTTAAATATTATTTGAATCTGAATTTTATGTCATATACAACACGTGTCGGAGTCGTGTCTGTGCATGATACATATCTGACACTGAACAGCTCCTTGTAAATTAGGAATATTCGTGCATTATAATTGTTCATTTATGTCATTCATGGTATCTCAACAACACATAACACACTATAATATATGATCAAAAAAACATTATAGAGAATTGAGTATTATTTGTTATCAGATATCTCCATTGTTGTTATAATTTAATAAAGAAATAAATTAATTTTACTTCATAATGGTAATTAAAGAGTACTAATTGCAGTTTAAAGGTTTAAATATGATCCCAACTACTACCTACCAAGGCTCAAATTGGCTTCACACTCAAGAAAGAAAAGGAAAGGTGTAAGCACTATGTATAAGTGGGGACAAAGCTATAGAATAACCATAATGAAGCATTCACACTATTGTGATTGGTCCCCCTCTTCCCGCTCCCGCTCCCGTCGCGACCCCAAGTTTCGCTTTCGCTCCTGATTGCCAAACGTCACGACCCCAGTCTGCTCCCGCCTCCACTATTCCTGCCTCTCCTTTTGTTTTCGCAAATCGGTGTTCGCTGTGAAGCAAAGCGATGCTTCACACCTTTAAATTCATGAATCAGGGTCTCCCAACTTCGGTAAAACAAAAGGAGAACGAATGAGGCGAGAGCAGACTGGGGTCGCGACGTTTCACAATCAAGAGCGAAAGCGGGACTTGGGGTCGCGACGGGAGCGGGAGTAAGAAAACGAACCGGGCTCCAAACTCAACAAACCTCTTACTTGGAGATCAATACACAGGCAGTAACGTCTCCTTCCTCAAACTGATATCATCCACTGACGGTGTCATCATTTTCTTCAAACATAAATCCTCCACCTCTGCAACTCCGTAAACGTAGACAATTTGTCGAACCACGTAAATCTGTATGTTCCACTGTATTACTGTTTTCTGGTGTGAATTTTCTCGTTCTATTTTTTGCTTTTCTCATCGATCGTTCTTCTATTTTCACATATATACCACAACAACTGGTATCAGAACCCGTAGTTTCGAACCTGACGAAAGACGATGACTGCAGATGAAGTGAAGGTTTAAGGGATCGAGAAATTTGATGTCATAGATTTTGGACTGAAGAATGCAGATAGAGGATTACCTCTATGTGAAGAAATTTCATCTTCCGTTATTGGGGAAAATACCTGAAAGGATGGATGAGGCTGAATTGAATTTGTTGGATCGACAATTTATGGGGGTTATTCGATTGACTCTATCAAGGTACGTTGCACACAATGTCGTCAAGGAAAGAACGACTGCATATCTCATGGCAGGCCTGTCAGATATGAATGAAAAGTCATCGGCGAATAATAAGGTGTACTTGATGAAAAAGTTATTCAATTTAAAAATAGCGGAAAGTGTTTATGTTGCTCAACACCTGAATGGTTTTAATATTATCACAAATTAATTATCGTCTGTTAAAATTGATTTTGATGAAGAGATGCGTGTGTTGATATTGTTGGCATTGTTGTCTAATAGTTGGAAAGTCATGAGGATGACAGTTATCAATTCTGGAGGTAAATCTAAACTAAAATATGATGATATTCGTGATTTGATTTTGGCTGAGAAGGTGTACAAGAAAAATTCTTGCGAGATATCAAGTACAAGTTCGACATTGAATGTTGATTTCAAAGGGAGATGACAGGATAGGAACTCCAATAGAAGAAGATCAAAATTAAATTCTGGTTAGCATGCAATCGGTTGGAATTGTGGCAATGTTGGCCCCATAAAAATGAACTGTTGGAATCCTAAGAAGATGGAGAATAATAGCGCAAATGTACTATCCGAAGAAGTACAAGATGCATTATTGCTGGTAGTTCATAGTTTTGTTAATGATGGAAGTGAAGAGGAGAGTGGGTCTGGGGCACCTATTCTTATTGTTCCACAGACAGATGGTGGAAAACCATAAAGCTATTAAAAAATCTTGCAAGATGAAAGTTTGAGCAAGTGGGAGCTGGCAAAACTTCCACCAGGGAAGAAGGCATTCACAAGAAGTGGATGTACCGGGTGAAGACTGAGCTTGATGGCAATAAGAGGTACAAGGCTAGACTTGCCGAAAAAGGCTTTCAGCAGAGACAGGATATTGCCCATGCAGTGAGAGTTGTAAGCAGGTTAGTGAGAGTTGTAAGCAGAGACAAGAGTAACCTAGGAAATAGCTTGGAGGTGCAAGGTTATGTGGACGCTACTGATATGTTGACTAAGAGTGTTACTCTTGAGAGACTGAAGTTGTGCACATTTTAGTTAGTCTTCTGGTGTGAAAACAAGAGAATTAAGTTGCAAAGATAGAGGATTCATGTTTGGAGAAAAGGGCGACACCATCAGTGGAGGATATCAGTTTGAGGAAGAAGATGTTGTTTCCTGTGTACTGGTCTTCAAGTGGGAGATTTGTTGAGTTTGGAGCCCGGTCCATCATCCCGCTCCCGCTCCCGTCGCGACCCTAATTACCTCTTTCGCTCCTGATCGCGAAATGTTGTGACCCCAGCCTGCTCCCGCCTCCACTGTTCTCGCCTCTCCTTTTGTTTTCACGAATCGGCGCTCGCTCCTGCTCCGCCCGTGAAGCGAAGCGATGCTTCACACCTTTAAATTTGTGAATCGGAGCCTCCTAACTTTGGGAAAAAAACTGTTGGTGTAAGTTACAGAGGTAACATAAGAGGAAGAAAGGTATAGCGAGGCATCACAAGGCTCTCCTTCATATTTAAATTTTGGCACGTCCCTTTTTTGTGTTTTTCTTCTGGCTTCCTCAGGACAGAGGAAGAGAAGTGTAAGGAGTAGTTTCTTGCGGCAGAAGGTAGAAGAAAGAAGAATAAGAAGATCGTTCTCCCTTAGCTTCTTTCTGGTGGCTTGTGGCAGAAGAGAAATTAAGTTTATTTCTCTTGTAAGTTTATCTTCTTTGGCGTATCTCGGTGTAGAGAGAGAAGAAGAGAGAGCAAGGATGTGAGAGATCCCTCTTGTAAGTCGAAACGATCGATTGGTGTAAATTTCTCAAATAGTAAAATTCTCTACAACTCTGTGGACGTAGACAATTTGTCGAACCACGTAAATATGTGTGTTCCGCCGATCGTTTTTCTTTTTTTCACATATATACCACAACAATTATGTATTAAGAATAATTACAACTTATAATCTACTTTCATTATGTATTATTCTTAGGTTAATCACTTTGAAATAAGAGATATGAAAACGCAAATCATGCCCGTTAAGTTAAAATAAATTTGTAGAAGGTGCATTTTATTCTTTTTTTTATGATTTTTTTGGTTTGTATTATATTTTTATTTATTTTTAAACTAATCATATAGGTATCTTTAGTTGACTAATTTTGCATATTATTTCAATGCATTGGTTGATGTGCATGATTAGCACTCAAGTCAAGTTTTTAGTTATGTGCTTATTTTAAAATAAATGTAGTAAAATGAAGATGAAGAAATCATAAGACGAGGCTTTTCTTTATAGATCTTCCACTCCTCTTGAAAGCTCATTTTTATCTCTATTTTATGCATGAAAAAATAAAGAAATATAAAATTATATTATGTACAGTATTGCTCTTGTATGCGGTGTCTTGGTGAATAGATCGCAATACGGGTGACAGGCGGTGACATAAATGAGGATTGATGTATGTGCTATGAGATAATGATGTTTCTTTCTCTAGCGGCTCGTTTGTCTTGGACTAGCTTGACCAGTTCGACAAGTGGGTTTAGTTCGACCACTTTAACTGGAGGGCTTAGCTCGATCATTTCGGTAAGTGGGTTTAATTCTATCACTTCAATAGATAGGCTTAGCTCAAGAAGGACATGATCATTAGATATGTGTCTTTGAAGTACGTAAGGCCAATTGACCCTCAGTATGCCTTTGAAAAAGCTTAGCTTAATTATATGGTAGTATTTGGGCATACATCCGTATATCAATTAATTTTTTAAAATTATCATAAGTATTTTTGCAAATTGATGTAATTAGTCCAAATGAACCCTAAATATATTTCATGAAAATATTTCTATATGCTCCTA